GGGTTTTTTCCCTCTTTTTCTCACCTGTAATTTACTATTATATTGTCTTTCTCTAGATTAGCCTTTGAAGGTCCACAATTTGAAAATATGGGCCATATGTTTGAAAGCCAGTTCCAAGCTGGAACATGATGATCCAAATGGCATCTACCTGCTCTCTACTAGAATCCCATGTTTAGTCTAAATTACTACGTATTACTGCAGTACATGATTAAGGTGTTCCGCTGATGTATCTAAAGTCAAGTAATCATGAATTTTAACTGCTGTACTGTTAAAAACATTTCCACAATCTGTTTATCATACCTTAAAACTAGCTATTATACAAAAAAAGAGAGTATATATTAATTATATATATTAATACAACTGCTTTTTAAATATTTTTGAGACACAAAATACAAACCTATGCTTTCATGCAAAAAGAGAAAGCAGTTCAATTTTTTCTGGAGGAAGTAGTGTTCTTTCACAGTTACTTTCCTTTTTTTGCTTGCTTTCTTTCCCAGCTTCCTAATAAATCTTTTGTCTTAACTCTTCCTCAGTTCTCTTCCTGTTGGAAAAGTTATGCTAACATCAATACTTCTTCTCCGATTATACATCCTTTCACTCCAACTGACCAGGTAAAATTGCTTTAACAGCCTGTGTTTTCTGATTTTCAAAAGAGAGCCTCACTTATACAGTTCAACTGCGGTCTTAACTTCTGGGTACGTTTCATAAAAGGTCTCAAAACAACAGGTGCTTACATGCTTCTGGGGCTTGGCTCAAAGAATTCAACAACAATCCACAGAATGATGCCCTCCCTGCACTCTCCTCCTTGCTTTATAAAGAAATGAAGTAGTGAAACTAAGCTACTGAGTTAGAATAGTTGTTGAGCCCTAGGAAGGATGAAAGCAGAGCACCTCCAGCGGCCTTTGCAGCTGAATTGATTTACTGTTTGTTCTTGCTGCATTGTTAACATGTACGCTCAGGAGAGGAAAATGACTCAAATATTAGTGAAGAAGCAAGTAGCAGCACAACTCTCAACTCGGTCTGAAACTGTTCCTCTGTGTAGGTGCCCCAAGCTCCATGTAGTTTCATTACAAAGGAAGGAGAATGGTATCTAGGTGGTATAAAGCCTAGGTGTTGTTACATGAGTTACCTGCTGTTACACAAGATTTTCAGAAATGACATGTGATGCTTAGACCTAATACGTAACTGTGTTAAATATCCCTGATAGTATAACAGAAATAATAAATACTTAGAGATTTAATTGGTAAATATTCAGTTACCTCCCTTCACTTCTTTCTAATGTTTTTCATTATCTGTAACTAACCTTAAGGCAGTTTTAGTCCTTCAATAACTTATGAGGGGTTAAAACGTACACAGTTATGATCCTATGATACAGGGGGTGTGTTAATGTATTTAGAGAATATGATTTCCTCCTCCTCTCATCTTCTTGCAAGACCTTTCTCAGCTCTGATTATATCAAACCTAATAGAACAGTAACATTTTTTCCTGAACTATACTGTCCAAGTAGCTATACTGCCTACATCACAAATAGCTCTTTTCCCTCCATATTGCAGATTTAGTATTCCTGCTTTTGTTTGAACTTTAGACTGCATGGTTCAAATTGCAAAACTATACTGTATGTGGCGTCTTTCAAACTCAGTGCATGAGTACTCTGGTGTCGACAAATAAGGGAGTTAGATCTTTGCAGCCTTCCTCCAGGTAGCAATGACTTTGTCAGACGAATGAAGAAAATTTGTGTTAGTTGTCCTTTATGTATATTTGGATATATGGGGGTTTTGGCAGCAGCTGATAATGATTAACGGTCTTACAGTTTACATAGAGTGTAGCAGTAACTGCATGTTTTTCTCAAGAATTGAATAAACAGAGCTTCTTCATAAAGATAATCTCTTATTTGCTCCTCGATGCTCCCAATATTTCTTTCCTTAGTTAGGTATGTTACTACAAGACAGAGACATAATTGGTAATCATGCTTAGTTTCTGGAATGTCAAGTCAGCTATAAATTATAAACACGAACCCCCGATTTGGCAAGTGAAATCAGAAAATGTGCTAAATCCTCTCAAATATAATGTAATGATGTGTGAAAAAGAAAGAAGAGTACATTTCCTTCTAAGTATTTCTGCAGTGCAAAATAGGCATACATAAAATCATGCAAGTCAATATAAATAATAGCAACTTACGTTTTTATAGCCTTCCATCCCAAAGAATCTCACAGCCTTTACAGAAATTATTGTAGAGAAATTTAAAGCAAGGATCATTTTACCACTGCTGAAATGCAACCAACTGCTTAACAATTGTACATCTATGCTGGGAGCCTGGTATTCCACAAAGAACTTGCAGACTCGGGCTCTGTATTAGGAACAAATATTCCCCCTTGGAGTGCAAGACAAATTTTTTTAGGGTATATGAAAGCTTTTAAATTGCTGTGTACACCAGGGAGTTGAAGGCTGCACAACATCGCAAGCACACATAAGCTTGTAGTTGATAGTAAAGTCTGACTGGCATATCAGTGCTTACTCTAAGCAGCAGGCAGAGACACACCAGCTGGTTTGCTGCATGTAATCAGTTTGACAGCCCCCAGGAACTGCCGAGTCTCCATGACCCTAGAAAGACAGTTTGGCACATATATTAAACAGTCAAATACCTCCCCTCCAACTGTTTGTCCATCTCCACTAGACACAGACCTTCCCAGTCCAGCGCTCACATTAGAACTGAATGGTTAGATAATGATGGAAGAATCTTCCACGTGTCCTCGCAGTTGCTGCAGTTTAAACCCTCGGATGAAAATATTTCTGGGCTGGTAACTGCTTTTGAAGCAGGATGATGGTTAAGTAACACAGACGACAGGGAGTGACTAATAGTGTAGTTGAATAAATCCAGTGATTCTATTTGGGGGTTTTTTATTTTATTTTTTTATAAAGTTCCCATTAGACATAGTTGCTAAACCTGATTTTTATTTTTTCTTATACCAACTTTTTTAACTTACTCGTTAAGCACTTGCTTGTGCTGGAGGGTCATGTAATACTTGTGCTCATTTCCCAGATACTAGAGACAAAGAGGCAGTCAAAATATTCTTAAAAATCTTAAATTAAATTCAGTGAAACCTAAGAGACTTCTGAACGTGAGACAAAAGCTTTTCAGATATGTGGGTGCTTAAGAATGTTTTGCTCATATTTTTCATATAAGATACACAGTTGTGAATTACGTATTAATATTAGGGGAAGCTCTTTATTGGAAAATTCTCTTGAATTTACATTCTGCATTGTGAAATTAAGAGTCACTGCCCAAAGAGACATTTGATTAGATGAATTTCCTGCCCTTCTTGACTTTCATTCAGATTTTATACTTCAGACATTGGTGTCCTGTTCCTTGGCTGAGATGGAGCCCTGTGACTGTTAACTACGGACTGACTGTGCTAACAGACACATACATATATGCTGTTATAAATCCAGCACTACTGAACTGCAGTTTCTAAGAGCAAAAATGTTTACATATCAACTTATTCAGATGTGCTACTACCACTTCCAGATGTGAATATCTTGCCTGAGGAGTTCACAGTCCAAGATGGGATATGAAATGTACAAAAGTTTTGTTTGAAAACATGGATTGGCATATGCAAACCTGTCTTCACTATCTGCAACAGCTGCAGGGTGTTACAAGGGCAGATATTTAGACTTCATTGATGCATTCACACCAGTGGATGTACAAAAGCTATCCATAGGGATACACAATTATTAGTTTTGCAGGACAGTATTAGAGCCAATCCATCCTTAGCTGAGGCAATGGAAGACTTCAACCAAGCTTAATACAGCTACAGTTTCACAGAAAATGTCTGAAAAACAAGGTGTTTATTTGGAATAATCTGGTGATTAAGCATCAAACATAAATACAGAGCCAACTACAACATATATCGTTTATTTTATTACATACACTCCAGCGTAATGACAGCTCTAAAAAGAAGTTGGTGGAAAAACTGATCGCTTACAAGAATTATTCCTAGGTGGAATGATCAATCACAAATAAAGACACTTTCACACTGGAATGCTGCAGTATTTATACTGGGAGTTATTCTGGAATAGCTGTGCCAGCTGAATTTTTATGTAGAGGGCCCTGAAATAATTCTCAGGCGAAGTAGCTACTAGTCTTTGATTTCCTTCAGCGGGGCTGTCTGAAGAAAGGTTATAATTTCCTCACAGGTAGGGCAGCTCTAATGCTAGATAGTCTTTCTAATGAGACACAATAGAGATAGATAAAAATTCATGGAAGTTACAGTATTATAAATATATAAATGCTGAATTGAAGTTTTAGGATAACTAAGCAGTAGGGGTAGAGCACTGTTGAGGACTAGGAAAAAATTATACTTTGTTCTTTTGTGGGTTCTCCTGCAAGGACACTTTCATATGATCCTCTCCCTCTTCTCCACTCATGGGAAAATTAAGAGGGAGCCAACTCCTCTACAAAGAGAATTTATAAATGTTTGCTTTCCAGGATTTTAACTCTGGCCAATTCCTGAAATTCTTTATCATCTCCTCAGTCCTACAGCAGGAAAACTCTTGCTGAATCCTAAACAAAGCTGAGTAACACTTCAAGATTTGGTCCCTCAGCAATAGCAGTAGAAACTAAAATTTTACACTATGTGTATTCCATCCTGTGCTGGTTTTGGCTGGGATAGAGTTAATTTTCTTCATGGTAGCTGGTATGGGGCTATGTTTTGGATTTGTGCTGGAAACAGTACCAGCAAGCAGGCTGGGGGGCACAAGAAGTTGGGAGGGGACACAGCCGGGACAACTGACCCCAACTGACCCAAGGGACATTCCACACCACATGACATCATGTTCAGCATATAAAGGTGAGGGAAGAAAGAAGAAGGGGGGGACGTTTGGAGCGATGGTGTTTGTCTTCCCAAGTCACCATTACACGTGATGGAGCCCTGCTGTACTGGGGATGGCTGAGCACTCTCCTGCCGATGGGAAGGAAGGAATGAATTCCTTGGTTTGCTTTGCTCACATGCATGGCTTTTGCTTTACTTATTAAACTGTCTTAATCTCAACCCACGAGTTCTCACTTTCACTCTTCTGATTCTCTCCCCCATCCCACTGGGGAGAAGTGAGCAAGCAGCAGTTAAACCACGACACATCCATTGCCTTCTTACCAAGTGGCAGCTCAGCTTTTTTTGTGGTGATCATTAAAAACTTCCCTTGTTATGTAGAGCAGTATCAATATTGGAACTCTTAGGGGAAATAACCTCTGTTTCTATCCAGAAAATATCAGATTAAAATAAACACACGCGACATTGCTCAGTGAAGAGCGAGTATGTTATTTACAATTCCGTCGTTTCAAGTTGGCATTATTCAAACATTTGCAGTGTGTCTTGAGTCTTGTGTAGGAGTATAGTGACAGAAAAGGTGAAACAAGAGGAAAATATGTAGGGATCTGTCATATACAGTTTTTGCTATAATAATACATTGTACACATTATTCTTTTCATCTGAGAATGTCAAAGCTCATTAAAAAATCTAGTTAAATATAAAAAATTCTGTGAGGAAAGTAATTCTTTTATTGGTAGGTTAACTGAATGCCAGAGTTATTCAGAGTTATTCCTCATTAGAGCTGGAGACAGAACTTGGGAATAGAACTAGTCTCCAACTTCAGCTACATAAAATGCTGCATGAGTTGCCAACAATGAAGATCTGCAAGTGGAATTTGGTTAATTGTGTCAGTCTGTAGGAACGCTTATTATTTTTTGGTGTTAACAATAGCTCTGAGAGTCCTGAGAGTTCTGCGATTGATCCCTTCGCGCAAGGTGCTATCTGAACACAAAGCAAAGAGGTGGTTCTGGCTTGGAAGAACATAAAGTCTTTCAGGACATAGTTTGACAAACTTATTTTTTGGTAGAAGTTCCTACTTATGCATTCCCCACCACACATTCCTCCCCTCTTCCCCTTCACACTGTCCCTGAATTGTGCCAGGGCAGGTTTTTTTGTGTAGCCCCATGTTAAATGGAATCAGGAAACTGATTTCAATTAGAAATAGTCCCCATAAAAAACATTTATTTTTAACTCCGACTACTACTTTGATCTGTTCCCTGATGCAGATGCATGAACAATGTTACAAGAAAGAGGATCCCGTGAAGGCAGGAATGAACAAGGAAAGGGTAAGGAACACATTGCGTATGTCTTGCTTACTTAGAAGACATGTTTGTTTGCCCTTAACTTAGCCTAACCATGACAAGGTTGCAATTGTAACTGCTGTGAAGTAACAGCGGTTTTGGGGGTTTTATTTTAGTTTTGTTTCAATTAACACAAGCAAGTGGAATATATCAATAAACAAAACAGCAGATCTGCCACTCAGGTGATACTGCAAAAGTTTTCAAAGTAGAATTTGAGATCATTGACAAAAAGTCATCCTTCCGCTTTCAGATTAAAGAATAACGTACCTCAGAAACACACAAAGGGAATAACCTTTAAACTCCATGTTTGTTTTTGCAGTGGTATGACTGGAAAATAATTTCATCTGCCTTTTCAAAGCGGGGTGGGGGTGGGGGGGCAGGGGGGAGACGTAAAACAAAAGTAAAGACCCTTTCCCTCCCATCACAGTCATACATCTATTATCTGACTCACCACTTCTGGGATTCCTTCTGGCAGTACTGGTTTTATTGCTCTGAAAATTCAAGCATGTGAAAATATTGCCTATTTTCAGGTTACTTTGTTCACTATTTCGTTCAGGTCAGTATTCCTTCCTTTAAAGGTTTGGAACGAAACATTCAGAAAGTACTGGATATTGCTGTTCTTAAGCCTTGTGAGAAGGACCAGCACAGTGGAAAGGAAGGGGGGAGGGAAGGGAAGGGAGAAATAAAAGGGGAGGAGAGTCCATATCTGAAGAGAGACTCCAGACTAGAGAAATTTTACTGACATCCATTCAGTATCCAGCAGGGTCTCCTTCAAGGGCTTTTACTGAGATCCAAAGGCCCTTGCAATTCACAGAGGCATTTACATGCAACGTTGCCCTCTGGGAGCTAAGGTATAACTGTACTCCTGGATAATAATAACAAAGAATACTACCAGACTCCTATTGAAATGTCAACCAGGCACTACTGTTGTAGAGAGTAACAAAGAGATGCTAATATAATTAATTATGAAGCCTCAGTACCCTCATTAACACATCTTTAGTGCCTAGATCTTTGAAAATCAGCTGTATAAAGTGACTGTCAGAGTTAATTCCTTATAAATTGCCTCCTGTCACATCCCAGCACTGCAGCAAGTTCTCTCAGGCCTTGTTGATGCTAAGAAATAAGTGTTTTGTTTTTTTTTTTTACTACTGATGCAGTTATACTGGTGTTATTAAAGGTATAAGCTGTTGCATAAGCAGGAGTCTGTTGGGCTAGAATAGAGAAAACAAAAATGCCTTCAGTCACCCCAGCTTCCACAATTGGTAGCATAAATAGGAAAAGTTGGAATCAATTAAATGGAAAACTAAGGACAAAAGAAAAACAGGAATGAAAGGTGTCACATAATTTGGCATTAAAATGTTTCCGGACCTTTTTTTAACTTTGAGGACCGCAGTCAGTTTATAGCTCTCCCTCCTCCTACTGCCTTTACGACAGCATTTCAGCTCCAGGCCTCATTCCAGTGCATCCTCCCTCCCCACCACTCCCACTAACAAATATATATTTCAATAGACTCAGGCTACATAGAGTTCCAAAACCAGCATGTAACTGGTGCAATTGTCTTTTACACTTCACCACAGAGAGCCACATTCATGCTTTCTTAAGCCCTGTTTTGTCATGTTTTCACTCTTTTAAGTTAGACTGGCGTCAGTACTTGTGTTGCGGACCCTACACACACTAAAGGAAAAAGTTACACAAATCTGCTCTATTGGTAGTTCATTCTGTTATTTCTGAGTACCAGACTACTATCCTGTCGTTCTCCTAAAAGATAAAGGTGCCATCTTAAAGAGGCGATAAAAAGAAAGTGATTATTACAAATCACTTTGCATTTTCTCCAGCAGTCGAAACACTCACACTGACATATCCAATTTGTCTGTACAAGATATTCTGCTTCCCTTAATCTTCCATGTGCTTTTGAGAAGATGATAATCTTTCTGCAGTGCATAATTTTGTGAAGTTATCTCTGTGTGTGTTTGTATAACATGCTCCAGGATCCTTTGGGATCCTTGTTATACTTGGGGTAACAGACCAATCAAAATGTGGTATTTTTATTTGCTATTTCAGAAGTAGCTTTTGCATTAAGTATAAGATCATTTTGCAAGTCTAGCTAAACTGACAATATGCAAGCTCTCTAAATGGAGGTGAAATTTATATCACTAGAAGGAGCCCTTGCAAATCTGTCTTTCCTGCTGTATTAGCCAACATCATGGTTAGGCACATTATTTTATTCTCCACTCTTAAATTACATATCCATACCCCAGTAAAGCCACGACGTATTTATTGATCATTCAGTGTTCATAGAAATCATGTATAAGAAATGAAAGTAGCATGCTTGAAAATAATATATAGATTTCTGAAGACCTATCAAGAACTACCATGCAAATTCTGCTTGCTTCACATATGTATAAATCTGATGGTACTGAGTGGAAGGTAACTACTTATTTCTGAACATCCTTTTTTGAAACAACACTTCTGCAAAGGACAGCCAGTTCTATTCAGATGAATAATACCTGTCCGCAATGCTTTTTGAGATAGCCAGCTGCTTTTTATATATATCAATTAAAATTCCAACAACTGTTTGAGACACTGTAAACATAGTATGAGTTGATGAAGCGATGCACAGAACAGAAATAACTCTTAGCCATGTGTGGTTACTGACTATGGGATTAATTTAAGGGATCTCAGCATTTTCTTCCGTGTTGTCAGTACTGCAAAGGGTCAGCTACCTTTAAAGAGTAGCATGCCAGATTTTACTTTTATTTCTGAGATTAGATGGTGGGCATGCTGGCCAATCACCTTGTTGACAGCATCAAGCCTCTGTCCAAGGCAGAGGCTCCCAGCTGCCACTGAGTTCGGAGCACCATGACAGCCAGGAATTGGGATCCTGAGCCTTTCACAGATGCCTCTTTCGATGTGCCACAGCTCTTGGCCCTGTGCCAGCTCTCGCTTGCCATTCAAAACCCACGGCATGGTGTCTGTGCGCCCCTGTGGTGGTAGCTTGCTGACACCTGCCACAAAGGAAGCCTTCCTCATGCTCCTTCCCATTTTGGTTGCACTTGACTAAAACCTTTGTCTTAGCATTATCAGTAAAGGAATGAATATGGGATAGGCAATACCTGTACAGTGCAAGAACTCATACCCATAATATTTAATAAGGACACCCAACTCTAAATCTACAAAGCATAATAGATCTACAATTTTAAAGGAGATGGATTCTTTTTATAATGTGCCATGTCTCTAGGTGTAACAGAGCTTCAGAAATGAAGCAACCTGTTTTCTGCCTAAATTGAAAGTCTGGTTTTCAAAGCAAAAAGGGCACAGCATTTGCAGGGACATTTGGGAAGGGGAACAGGGAAAAGCATGTCAGAAATTAGAGAAAATACATAAGTCCTTTACAAATGGCACTGGAGAAGAAATAGCTGGAGGATTCACACAGCTTGAGGTAAGAGTCCACATAAGGACCTGATCCCTAGTTAAGCTACTGAGCATCTGGTTGGCTACATGGATGCTGTGTTCTCAACACGGAAGAGTTGTGTCACCTTTCTTTCCTTCAGGTTAAGTGAACACCTAATATTTTAAAATTACAATTCTCTAACAAAAAGAAATAAGATGTGTACATTAGCAACACATCCACAAAATATGTATCAAATATGGTTGAGACACCGCTGTGGAGTTTAGCAACTTGGGTTCTGTTCTTTCTTCTGCCATGAATTCCCAGCATGATTTGGCAAGTCATCTATACCCTTATATCTGAAATTTTCCCTGTCAAAAAATGGCACCAGCAATTTTCCACCTTGCAGAGCTTCAGCAAGGGTAAAATAAATGCCTGTGGTATATTCTAAATATGAGATGAGGAGCGTCACAGGTAACACTGCAGATAAACAGACTTTGGTCAACTCATTACTTCTTGGCCTTGCATTTGAACTCCAAAATCACCACCTACAGTACCACAATAGGGTGCTGCTGTTGCTAAAATCTTTCAGGAATGATCTATACTAAACAATTGGTGAAACTAAAGAGGTGTCCTTTTAAATAATGCTGCAGATGTAAGGGGCTTTCCAGTAATTTTCCTTTTGGGTAGTATCTCCATTATTTTTATCTAGGGATATTTCCATTTAATGCAAACCTCTGAGCCTCAGTGAGACTAACTGCCAGATCAGCAGAGCAAACCACCTCTCTCTAAAGCAAATGACACTTGAGATCTAGTTCAAAGCTAAACAGTGTAGGAGTAACTGATCAGGTATTGTCCGATACAAATAACAAGCATGAAATGTCAGCATAAAGCCAGTTCAAACTCTATATTGCATATTTGGGTTAATTCAAAGGCAATACAGCTAAGCGCTCAGACCCCATCCAAATCAAACTTGTCATGTAGGCAATATGGTAGTGCACAGGTTTGAAATGAACATTCAGGGAAACAGAATGAGGTCTTGCTGGTTATACTAGTTGGGGAGACAAGTAGGTTCTGGCATGACAACTCTTTGATACAAACCCTTTTTATTGTTTGAAGAGTTTTGTTGTCTGGCTGTGCTGTTGTGTTTTTTTTTTTTTAATAAATGAGAATATGTAAAAAGTTGTGTTTTTCTGAACAGTAAAAGGCAATGCCTTTGATCCCATTTCAAGCCCCTCATTGCCAACTGAAGCCCCAAGAGCTCTTTCTCATGGCCAGACACTCCATTCCAATGCATGTTTTTTTCTTCATCCTTACTTGTATCTGTTTGGGGTGGAGGGAATGGGGGGGGAAGGTATAAAAGGGGAAGGCTCAGTTATGTGTCTCTATTTTGGGCAGAGACTGCCGTTTCGGCTGTCTGGAGCCTCAACAGAACCAAATTGTTTCATTTATCACAAATAGAGGGCTGCTACTGCACCCACTAGTGGGTGAATTTTTACTGAGCTGTAGCTTAGAATATTTCTTTTGCTTCAGGTCATAGTAGTCATACTCCCAGTGTGTACACTTTTATATATATAAATATAAAACTATCTTTTTTCTGATACCTTCTCCCCCAAGTGCTTCTTCCCACACTGCTTTCTCTTTACCTCAGTCTTCTCTTGTTCTTGTTTGTTTTCTGATCCTGATTTGCTCCATTGTGTGAAAGTGAAAAATTATTAATACTTTGTCTCATGAAACACAAAGAAGAGAAAGCACAGATCAGCACTGTAGTAATAGCCACTTTAGAGAAAGTTAGTAGCCTCAGGCTAGTAACAACCCTCCCCCAATTACCCCTGATTTTACCTTATTTCCAGTGTAGTGTTACTTTACTGCAATGCCAGAAGGAAAAAGCAGGATATGATTTATTGAAATACTGTTGATAAACTGAAACCCCAGCAAATCAGAGATACTGGAATAAAGAAGGATTGAACTGCAATTACTTAGAACAGTCATCTTCTGGAACTGCTTGCTCCTTTCTCATCCTCAGGGAAGAAGAAGTCCAGACATGCACCACGTTACAGAGAACACGTACTACATTTGCAGTAACTTTGCATATAACTTGCTGAAAAAACTGTTGATTTATTTTTGGTCTGTTTCACCTATTCAAATTCCAGATTTCTTATCTCACTTCACCATTTCAAAACCCATAAACTTTTCTCCTCAAATTCCCTCTGACAAGTTATTTGAAGTTCTTAAATTGCAGTCTGCACTTAGCATTTTTATTATGATGCAGACTGTATATAAATTCACACTTACAATATTTACTCTACTACCAAACAGTAACGTTCCTTGGCAGTTCTAATCATACCAATTAGAGATAATTTAGTGATGACTTAAGAAGATCTATTTATAGATGATAAATCTTAAACATTAAGAACCTCTTAAAAAACCACTCTGCTATTGGGTTCAAATATTTAGTGTCAGTTATTCAACACAAAGTAAACTGAAATTAAAAAGTCCCCCTACTTCCTGCATTTAACTATTTGCAGTAGAAAAACTCATCCAGCAATACTTGCTTTAGGTGCTTTTAATAGGGTTGTTGAATTTAGATAGAAGATATATTCACTCGTTAAGGGACAGATTATCTTGCCACTGTTTTGCTTCAAGCTGATCTCTTAAAAAATAAGCATTTCTCAGTAAGTGCTGTACTAGGATTTCACCATTAACAGCAGCAGAGCACTGTTTTACAATCTAGCAGTCTAGTTCTTCAATGAATACACCGAGGAAGAACACCAAGTATTTTCTCCAGAGAAGGGATTGGAATCATGCTGTGACAAAACCAGTACATTGTTTCCAATACCGTTAAGTTGCTTTGTAAATGGATGTTTAAAACAAGGTGGAAACAGAAAGCTCGATGAGAGAGAAAGATGGTAAAGTAGTCTCAAACCCATGGCTACAGACATGTGGTTGAAAATCTAAAGAAGAGTTCTAGAGCTGTGGCTTTTGAGATGTTTCACTTGTGTTAAAACTGGTAGAAATGGACAGCAGAGTATACTTTGTCATTAAGCAGTGTAATTCACATCCTGACATTTGACCTCATAAAAAATAACCCATAGCACAAAAAAGGATAAAAAAATACCCTTCTTGGTCAAGCCAATGGTCCATCTAGTCCATGATCCATGGCTATATGGCAGCAGCCGAAAGAGAGGGGCCAGGGGCCTGCCAACAAGAGAAGTGGACTGGGGAAAGCGGTCAGATTCACATCCTGACGCTCAAAAGTGATCTCCTGTGGACACTGGTAGAGCTTCCCCAGGTACCAGCTACCTCCCACTGCAGGAGATACCAAACTTGAACTCTGGAAGTTCAGATTAACTCCTGTGCTAATCAGAGAGAGACTACAGGACTAAAAGCAGCATCAGTCCAGCCCAAGGATGCTGTTATGTTCTTAGCTGTACTATGGAGTATCATGAAGGTCCACACAAATCACAGGAAAAATCACAGCAGATACACAGTGCAGGATTTGAAATCTGGAGGCTTTGGTTCCACCAAGACTTTTTCCCCCCTTGCTTTTGAAGGAGGTGCCTCTTAACCGCTTTCTGCTTCAGTTTCACTATCTGTAAACCGGGTATAATAGTTCTTCATCAGGAGTTTCAGGGAATCTTCTTTCACTATTTGTAAAGTACTTTAAATTCCTCAGAACTGTTGCACTCGGCTCTGACATAAATGGATTCACATGTGCTAAAGCAGCACTACGTCCGTTCTCACGAGCGCCTTCTCTGTATCCTGTAATCCTGGTTTTTACATACGGGCCAAACTCCTTCCCAGCAACAGAAGGAATAACTCCGCTGAAGTTAGTGCATCTGTGCCTGCTTATGCTAGGGCTATATTTAGCCTCTGCGTTCATCATGAAGTTGTTCCAATGGAGTTACAACTAGGAAAAAACCTAATAAGCACAGTCATACCAGTTAGGCATAATTACTTAAGGAAGGTGCGACACCAGTAAGTCTTTCTGCAGACACAAGCAGCACGACTGTTGCCCAGCTGTGCCCCCGCCATCGGGCAGATGCTGCACCAGGTCAACTACAGCTCTGCGGTGCTCGTGGCTCCCGGGAGAACTGCCCAGCTCCGGCAGCCCAGCCGGCGTGCAGCGACCTGGGAGCAAGGTTAAACAGTAACTCACCCACGGTGCAAATTACCATACTTCCCTCATCAGAACCAACGCACGTAAACAAGCAAGGAAGTCAAAATGCACGCCAGGCTTCACACGCGCGTTTGAAGTGGACTCCCCCATTTCCTCGGCAAGCACACACCGTATACGCTAACCAAAGCGGCCAATTTAAAACGATGTTTTAGCATTACTCGTAATTCCTCCTCCGGAGGGCGGGGGGCTCCGGAGCGGAGCCCCAGGCCCGTTTCCGAGCTGCACTGCGGCACC